AAATTCCTTATATCTCATCTCATGCCACGTTCCATATTTAAGCTCTTGGACGCGGCCTAGTGAAGCTAGTGTCCTTGGAAGCAGACAAAAAGAATCCATCCTCAAACTTGCAATCAATGAATGCATGGCCTTGAATTGCCTCACTCATTCCTAGAACCCGCAGCAGTTAACGCTGGTTTCGTATTGTGTGTTCTGTCACGACTCGCTCATACCCTTAAGGGATCAACAAGCGAAACAAGTGCTCCATTGTAGTATGAATATCGCCCGTCTCGAATTTGTTTATGTATGTTGAGCACACGCCACTATGGAGACTGGAGACGATCTACTCAGATGCTAGCGGACAGAGGATCTAACTTGGAAAGTGTGTTAGAGATACATCGTTCTTCTGGCAAATAACAGAAGTTTCTGTCCCTCTGGTGTGCCTCATCAATTAGATGGTGCTCTTTACCATGTAATTGGATCGGCGACTTTGCACCCTCATCTCGTCTGACCCTTTGCGCTACCGGCGGATATTCTAGAAATCAAGGGATGGCAGCCAACCAATGATGGAAAAGAGACCACCATGCCCAGATTGAAACAGAGAGCACATGATGCACAATCTCGCATTCCTCACTCTTGATTTGAGGTGGTAGAGTGGCAGCTCGGTCGATGACCGTGCTAAAACGATCGATATTTCTTCCTTCGCCCATCATATTCTCTCACCGCTGCTCTACCCCCACGACTTCTATGGTCAAATGTCCATGCCCCCGGAGTCCAAAGATGACATACATGACGCCAGAAGAACGACATTTCAAATATTGCCGGTTCAATGAGTGTGTTCTGCAGAGGCCTCACTTTAGTTTGGCGGCAAAGATGAGGTGCATCTTCCATGTTCCTTTCATATTCTATGAGCTGCATTGGGCTGCAATTCCACCGACATCGCTTGAATAGATGAAGCCTCCGGCATATGTCATCACATCCAGCTACGCACGGAGTCCCCTCTGTATGTAAGAACGTCTGCACAATACCCCTCGATCTGGTGGGGAATTGTCCAATCTCCATTGACGACATGCCACCTTTGCATCTCAATGGAAGGGGCCCGGTTTCAATGACGAAAGGACTGCCGTCCACCGAATGATAGAACATTTCTTGTTGGAGATCTTAACATTTCCAGGAGCAAGTAGTGGGTAAGTTGAAGATTATACACACGATTATCCCAGGTTCTGTCTACTTAGACTACTTATCTTTTGCTCTGAGCCGCCGTGCCAGCGTGGTAGTCTGTACACATATCATGACTTTGGTCCATCTTTTTTCGATCCCGTCAGAGGTTCAGTAAGGGGGGATGATTGCGTGTGGCCATGTTTCACCAGCGCCTGGAACAAACATCTAAATGGATAGTATAGCGACCCGTAACTGAAAGACAAAGAAGACAGGCGGCGAGTATGTTACATCTAGTGCGGGTCACTGTCGTCCAAGACTACGGTACGGCGACTTTCTGGTATCGAACCAAGGCATGCATACACATAGTTTGTGCAACGAGAGGTAACCATCACCTTTTTTTTTATTTTCAATCAAGGTTAGTTAATCCAAGTCGGTTGTCCGCGATTTATCCCGAGTCACAAAACCGAGCGAGTATCGGATATGGAGTTGCGGCATCGAGATGTTCAGTGTACATACCATACCGCTTACACCAAGCTTTTGACTCGAGAAGATGGATGGCACGGCCCTTCTGTGGCTCCCTTAGTTCACGGAATCCCATAATTAGTCAAAACTGTCAGACGTTTGGTGGCGGGCACCAATGGACCCTTCATGAAGAGGATAAAGCCTCCAAGTTGGAGTCCAGATTTGGGGTTGATCTTCATCTCGACAGGAAAAAAGCTTCCAAGGTTGTCGCCCGCATCATTTACATAACGCGCTAATAAGGAACAAGGGTCCCCCCTCGTCTCGTTCTGCATCTGGTGCCAGCAGCGGGACGCTTCAACCTCACCGTACGTAGCCCACAACCAAGCTGAGCCAACCAGCGAGCCCTTGGCTTTATGACGTCAAGCAGATGATGTTGACAAGCATGGATGAATGCTGATATTGGGCTGATGCATCGGCAGTTAGACGTCGGCTGTATTCTTCAGGGTCCAGAGCGAGGATTAACAGTGTCAGTACAACTCGAACTCTAACTCGCACTCCCTGATAGATCGGACCCTGATATACAGGGGATCGGCTGCTGATCTCGCGGTCTAGCAGTGTCATGAAACATCGTCTTAGCCAAAGACAAGATGCGCGACGGAAATTGGTATGGCATGATCTACGGTCAAAATCGAGTGATATTCATCGCCTGTTGAACTTTGAAAATACTCTAGACAAAGCAAATACCTTATGTAAAGGAATGACCCCGCCAGAACCCCCGCCTGCGCACGTCGGTGGATCTCGAATATGGTGCATCTGGCGCCTGTGGCCTTGTCAAGGATAGCCTCGTTTCTATCAAGCTGAGGCTGGCTGACCGCTTACAACGAGATTGGACGACATTGATTTGGAGGGGTAAGTTTCTCGTCTTGTTCCAGGTTTCTAGAGACCCATGGGGAACGTTCTAACTCCACGATATTCTCGAAACTGGGTTGTATTCGATCCGCTCAGACCCAGAGTCCCTCTTCCAAGTTGCTTGTCTATGCTGTGCATACGCGCCTAGCTTACACGCAACGGCCGATTGTAGGGCGATTCCATCTAGAAATACACTCGAAGGATGGTGAATGGTCCATGGGTTAGGTGCTGACTATCTTCTTGTTGGGGGGATTTGACAGGCAGACGTCAGTGCTGGCATCAAGTTTGAGGTGATATTTGGTACAGTTAAATTCCTTGTATTTAGAATTATTTGTATATCAACTTCAACTAGCACACCCCTTCTGGCGGTGTCTGATCGAGGTTCATTGCATGTCGGTTTCCAAGTCTCGCATATCACGAGGGAAGACAGATATTGGGATGTCACTCACTTACAAGGAGTGATTCAAGGACCTTGAAGAACGGCATGTGGATATCTTCAGATCTCATGTTCTGCACGTCGTCCCAGAGGACAGTGTCTTGTATTATCTACTTGATTTTACCCGCACCTATAACTGTGGATATGTGATAATGCAATCAGCCTCGAATATACGTGTTGTGTTCTTGTCCGCCTCGGTCTCAGCCGGTGTAGTGTCAAATTGAGCGATTTGTATATGGCAAAACCTTGTAGCAACTAGGAACGTTGCTTTCTTGCAACAGTCCCGCTTGGTTGAGCAGCTCGGATCTTGTGTGCCTGACAGATCGGTCGATTTTATCACGAGGTGCGAATATTTCTCTTTCACGAGTGCTCTGGTTGTCCAAACTTGCTCGCTTCAATCGTGCCCAATGATCTCTCAGATTGAGATGCTGAACTGTCATACAGGACTTATGATATGCTCGGCCCATAAATCATATGTTCTTCATAAATGTTGTATACAATAAAATTACAGGCTAATGAGACACGCCCAACCCTTGAATAAAACTTGATGGGTTTTGGTTGAGGCCTTCGTCATGATCCTCCAGGGTAAGCGACTCATGACTTGATATCCACGAGCTTCTCCAACGTCCTGAAGCCGTCATGAGCAAAGCCCTTGGTCACGTCCACCTTGTAGTTCTTGCCGTCAACTATGATGAAACCAAAGCCCATATCAGTCCACGCAGATTTGACACCGTTAAACATGGCTGCCAGGGTTCGACCCATCCTTCGGAAAGGCATTGTGAAGATGTGCTGCATGTCGAACTCATGTAAGGCCTTTTGCTGCTCCTTCGCCTTCGCCTCCAACTCTACGCGCCTCAGTTGAGGTACATACTCGTCTGGAAGCGAGAAGCGCGTCTTGAGAGCGATATCGCTAACTGGAGCGACAATGACCTTGGGCTTGAGAAATGGGACCATTCTCTTAACAGTGATTTCCAACTGTAATGGTGTGGTGGGAGCGATCTTGGATGCCTGGTAAGGAAGAACGCGGATCTGTCCAACAATGTTTGGAGTTTTTGCGATCATGAATGTTCCCATGGAAGCGAGTAGGAGATATGCTGTTCCAAACACAATGCCGATCCATTGCGGCACACCTTCAGGCTGCTTTACTACCAAACTCGTAGTAGATCCTGTCCAAGCAAGTAAGAATAGCCCACTCGACCAGCAGCCAAAGTAAAACCAAAAATGTGAGGGACCTTCGTAGAGGACGGTTGGGGTTGGTTTTGAAGCGAGACTCTTGATGAAGGCGTATTTACTAGGTGCCATTTGGGCGGCGGAGGCAGCAGCAGCAGCCCTTGAGGCCGTGGGAGTTCGAGCTGCTTTCACAACAGGTCCAGCAAAGCGGAGAACGGAGGTGCTGAAGAAACGGGATCGGAGGAGGACGGACTCGGCACGGGGTGCAAGGAGGGGCCGGAGGCCAGGGAGGCAGAAGCCCCTTGCGAGGCCGGCCATTGCGAGAATTGAGCTCCTTGGAGGTGGAATTGAGAGACGCGACAACTGGAAATCTCACGGATGGTAGGAATACTTTGGGTTGTTCGGTGGTGCCATCCAGTTGATATTGCTAAATGATTGCTAAATGATAGTGGGCTGAACTTTCAGAAATGAAGCTATTTGGAAATTCTTATCGGTAATAGACCGGCAATAGTTAGTTCCTGGTCGGACAACTTTTCGCCGCAACCCGAGGAGATAGTCAAATTCAACGGTTGAGATGGGCTTGATCATGGCATGGGCTTTGAGAAGAACCAACATGTGAAGAAAGTATTGGCTCGAAGTAAATAATGAGCTTCTTGAATCTGAACCATTATAATTAGTCTGTATTCGTCTCCCGCGACCGTGGTAAAGAATAAACGTTAAAGCTCATGTATAAGTCGCGCCAAAAATTTCCAAACTGTCGGACCCACTAATAAGGATATCTCAACAGCTCAATCCCTCAACACCCCGAGGTCGCTCCTACGTGCACCGAAAATCTCCCTCAACCGTCTCATCTCGACTTCTTCACCCTCAATTGAGCTGTGCAATGGCCTCTCTTACAGCAGCATGTAGGGCATCTGCCCGAGCTGTTACTGCTCGGTCCGCTATTGCTCGTGGTACGTTCTGTCCATTTCCTGATGTTGAAAAAGCCCCTCGGACCCTTTTGTCGCGCACCGACTAACACATCATCACCTGCTGTAGGCTTCACCACCTCGACGCGATGCCTCGCCGCTCAGAACTTCACCATGCCCGCCCTCTCGCCGACTATGACCGAGGGTAACATTGCTTCATGGAAGGTCAAGGAAGGAGAGGCTTTCAGTGCCGGTGATGTGCTGCTCGAGATCGAGACCGACAAGGCTAGCATGGATGTCGAGGCCCAGGATGATGGTATCATGGTCAAGATCATGGCTGGTGATGGAAGCAAGGCTGTCCAGGTCGGATCACGCATTGGTGTCATTGCTGAGGCCGGCGATGATATCAACTCCCTCGAGATCCCCGCCGACGAACAGGCCAAGGAGCAACCGAAGGAACAGTCCAGCGCCCAGGCCCCCAAGGAGAGCACCGCCCCCTCCGAGTCGAACCCCGTTGAGAAGAAGAGCGCAAAGCCTACTGGCAACGATACCTACGAACACAAGTACCCCCTGCTGCCCTCAGTTGGACATCTGATCAAGGAGAAGGGCATCAGTGAGGCCGACCTCAAGAAGATCAAGGGCACTGGTCCTCATGGCCGATTGCTCAAGGGTGATATCCTTGCCTACCTTGGAAGTATCAACCCCGAGACTCCCGCTGCCAACGAGGTCAACTTCAACAACCTGTTCCACCTCGACCTGAGCAACATCAAGGTGGCTACCAAGCCTGCTCCTCCTTCCAAGCCTGTTGAGGAGGCTAAGGCTGAGGCTCCTAAGGCCCCCGTTGTCGAGAACCTCGAAGTTTCCATCCCCATTACTTTGTCCAAGGTCGTTGAGGTCCAGAACCGGATTCACGAGACCCTCGGCGTCTTCCTGCCCATCTCGACCTTTGTCGGCCGAGCTGCTGAGGTTGCCAACGACGACCTCCCTCCTACTAAGCGTGCCCCTACCGCCAACGAGCTTTTTGACCAGGTTCTCGGCCTCGATAAGATCAAGGCTGTTAAGGGGTCTCGCGGTGTCTACCTACCCCAGATCTCTGCTGTCCCTCCCACCTCTCTACTCACTCCTCTCTCCCCCACCCGAAAGCAGACTGACATCATTGACATCCTCGCCGCGCCGAAGAAGTCAGCTCCCAAGCCCGCTACCATCCAGACCGTCCCTGGTCTGTCCAGCGGCGCCAATGTCTTTACTCTTGTGGTCCCAAAGGCAGAGGAGGAGAGAGCACAAATCTTCCTTGAGCGTTGCAAGGTGATTCTGGAGGAGGAGCCAGGACGACTGGTACTGTGAGCTTACGAAGATTCCCTGTAATATATCGATATTTTTTGCTATAGACAATGGCTAGTAATTGCGCTTGGAACGCACTCTTGGTATTATGTCTACGCCTTTAGTGGTGTTTTGCCAGATAGTCAGAACCACAAATCCAATGATGAAACATGTTTGATGCCGGAACATATCTCTAATAAACTAGTTGTTTGTGCCATTAGGTTTGGTATATCGTGTTTTGCATGCTGTGTTGAAGAAGTCCTTGAGTCTTTGCAGATGCGAAGTCCTCTGCCTAGAAGGATACTTTAGTAAGTCGGCTTCCCATTACAAGTTCCATAGATAAAGAAGGGCTCCGAAAATGAAACTCTCAAGTACCGTCTGCGTAAACCGAGAACCTCGTATGTCCTAACGTTACGGTTCTTGCTGTCTGTCGCCCGATGATGTGTATCCCAGAAAGACAGCATGACAATCATGTGTCCATGGGATTGTTCAATCATTGTGCTTACAAGTCCATCTATACTAGGTACTCCAACAGTCTGAGGTACCTTATTTCATATCGCTGCCATATAGTTGTCTTCTTATTCACTATACATTCAAGGAAATCATCGTCTTTCAGCAAAGAAGTAACTAGGTACCTTCGGGATACGAGATCAGAGGTGCGTAGTGTTGTATACAATCGGTCCCACACTCTCTATTCATCTTGGCCTCCTTTTCAGTGAACGTATCCAAAGAACATCCCTTCGATCTGGTCCACACCATCGGAGCATTGGATCGAACGGATTAGTAGTTCCCGTCTGCAAGGTCAAGCAAACCCACATAAGTTCCCAAGCATCCTCCAATCTTTAGTAATTGATCGGCATTCGGCTGAAGGCGAGACCATGAAATTAATTCAGCTTTATTGCGGAGTTGAACGGGAAATGCCGAGATGCCAAGGCCCAACTTGGGTTGACTAGATTGTGAACGCATCTCCATATGCCTGCATGTATTGGGTGTATCAGTCACGTACCAACGCCAGCTAAGCTATTGTTGTTTTGAGATGTGTCATGGCCCATAGTAGTGTCTTTAATGGAAGTGATCGTGAGGGATCGTGATCAACAATTCATGCAGGAGGATGAAACAGTCGAAAGCCTCCCTGAGAGGGCTGACCTTTCTTGTCGACTTGCATTAGTGATGCCTCAACTGAAGGAAGCGGGCAAGACTTGAACTGCAATCTATGAATTGGTTGACTAAAGTGGCTGTGGGTGTGTCTCGGGGAATAGGACAGAATCCGCGAACCCGGTCGGCGGACAAGGTAATATGATACATAGAAAACAGCTGGAGAGTGCCGTGGCCTCAGACGTATCACAGCAAAAGTTAGGTACCAGTCAAGGTCTCGATTGGCGAGGAAAAAACAAGCAAGCGGCTATCTGCACAAGCGTGTTAATACTGGCTGGAGTTGCCCATTCGACCGATGTTAGCGGCGATGAATCAAGTACCCCTGTTTGTTGAAACGCTTAAGCTAAGACATGGTGAGGTAAGAGAAGGAGAAGGCGGGATCGGAATGCTCATAGATGCCCGAAGATGATGTTGAGATCCTTGCCAGGCTGAGCTTTGAGTTCCAATACCTGAAGGTAAGGTACCTACCTAAGCAAGTGGATGGATGGATGGATGACTAAGGCGTCCCGAGCCGCATGTAAGTGAAGGAAGGCCGGTTACACAAAGCGACTTCGCCGGCAGCTGATGGTCGTCACGTGGAAGAAGCAAAGTGAATAGACTTCTCTCTTTCCTCCGACTGGACCAGCAAGTTAATCTTCTTCACGATGGACAACCTGGCCAGAGAGAGAAAAGACCACTAGTCTGATACTCGACATAATACGAGAAACAAACAACCAACAGGAATACCAAGACTTTCTGAGTTCCGATTGAAAAAACCACACCCCCAGGATCGATCCATCATCTAGAGCGACATGTCCCCCACCCAGGACTTCAAACTACCTCGCGTCGCGAGCTTAGAGGAGCCATTATGTTGGACTGTCGCACTAGGATCATAGGGACAGGGTTCTTTCCATTCCACAAGGCCCTTCCAATAGCATATACTTGCTTCTTCTGGTCTCAGATCTGCCCCTCCCCTTTACTGCAGGACCTTGCGACCCCAGCCTAAAGCCAATGATATGACTTCGCAGCCAGAAATTCCAGGATGATCACTCAGACAAGGAGGGCCTTTCAATCAATCACTCCACGTCTACTGTGTACGTCTCAGGACCCCTCTCAGCTCCTGCGGCCATGCGCCATGGAACGCCCATGGGACGCCACAATTGTCTGCTCTACCTCTCCCACCAGCGTCGCTGCTTTCATCTGGTCACATAACATCATACAGCCTGGTTCCGAGCTGTTGGTACGGCTTCTAGTTGGATGACTTGAGTCCCCAGCGTTGGCAAGATGGGTAGAAAGTGTCTGCCGTCCCGCTTTGCTCTCTCGTTAATGTTAAGTGTCATTGCTCTACTGCATGGTCGTTGCATCTCATTTGTAAAATCCAAGGCTGTTTCTCTAGAAGCCTCCTGCCAAGGTAGAGCCCTCTATATATGAAGCTCTGGCCTCCAACATCTTCGGATCCAATATTGACCAAGACGCCCACCAACCGAGCAAGACCTCCCCGGAGTGAATCTGCAGTTGCGGGAGTCCTCTTTGTCTTTTAGTTTCGTATCTTGAACAGTCTTGGCAGGGCCTGCTGCAGACCTCTCTGGCTGAATCTCACAATTCAGGTACAAGGGCCCTCATAATTGATACGATTGAGCCACCAGCTATCCAGTCGCTTTTGCAACACGCATCAGCTCACATCAATAATACGGAACTCTTCTGCGGAAACAAGCTCCTCTGTCTAAAGCGACACAAAGATTATCTCGAAGCGTACCACCCCGACTGTTGTATCTGGCATGACACGACTGAGAGTCCCAGCAGATAAGCGCAGACGAGTTGCGCAGGCCTGTAACGCATGCAGGCAGCGTAAGCAACGTGTAAGAACAAGAGTCTATTCCCCTTTTAATTCCGAGTCACTGTCTTTACCACTGTACTTTCTTTTCATTCTATCAGCGGACCTCATGGCATCATTTATTCCTAGCCACAAGCGACTCCTATGTCCTGACCATACGAAGCATGGCCTCGCTAATGTGCAGCTACTCCTGAATGGTTTCCCCTACAGACTCTTACCCCGAAACATCAAGTGTTAGATAGGCGACCTGGTCCGCAAATAGCTGGATTGGAAAGCGTTTACTAACTCCTGCTCTATCATACAGTGTGATGGCCTTCGTCCTTGTAAATATTGTCGAAAACGAAGGGTGGACTGCGAATACAGGAGTCGTACAGACTCAGTATCATCGAGCGAATCTCCTCGTCCGTCATCGAGACAAAGCCCTTATAGAGAGCGTTCTAACCCGCCTGAGCTTTCCGGCACGCTGGATATAGCCCATGATGCACCTATCCAAGAGAACCTCGTAAGGTCAGCCACTCCCGAATTTGATTTCAGGTTTCGACTTGTTTCGGTTTCCGGATCCGAAGAGATCCAGATACCTGCGCACACTTGCATGCTGCTAGATTGTCAGAATCGTCTCTGTAAGTCCGTTTGCCATTCCGGAGTGATTTGATTGCTGTTACTAATAGCCCTAGCCTTTGTTGGGCGTTCTACTGCTCACTCTTTCATGCACCACATCAGGAACACGATCGAGAAACGTGATGGACCTTCGGAGTTCACAGCAGATAGCAATTGGAGCGGTCTACCGGAAAGACTCCCCGTGGCCCCTAGGATGCAGTCCTTTCTCCCCCCAAGTACAACTGCGAGTTTGATCGAGTTCTATTTCAACCACGTAAGTCGCTGGGTCGCTCGAGAGAGAAGAAAGAAACTGATTTCGCAATAGGTACGGAGCTTCATCGATATAGTCAACCCAGAAGCGGTGAGCTTGACCTTGTATCGATTCCAGAATAACCCGAATGAGGTTCAGGGACCCGATCGGTGCATTTTCTATTTGGTTCTAGCAGTTGCGCTCGCCTTGGATTCTGGTGATTCTGCACACTCGCCGAGCCCAGAATTTAAACACCAGCTGTTTGCTATAGCTGAGGGGCTGGCTCACCCAACTCGTACCTTCGAAAAGTCCCAGTACCACGATGACGTCCTCTGGCCCCTCCAAGCTCTCGCTTTGATGTCATTTTTTATGCTGTCTGTTTCCATGAGGAATACTGCGTATGAATATTGCGGCAAGTTTCATCGTATCTGTATGCGAATCAACGAAGCTAACAATGGTTCAGGTCGAGCCGTCCGAGTTGCCTACGCCCTTGGGATTCATCGAGGCCATGAGTCTGAGATCAGTCAGTTCCCCGCCAACGAAGAACTCAGAGTTCTACGAAGAAACGTTTGGAGAAGTCTGTTTATCCTAGACAGATTTCTGGCTGCAACGTTAGGAAGACCGTTCGCCATCTCTGATAACGAATACTCCGAATCCTCCCTTCAGCCACCCAACCGACCAAGCAGTCCCAACAAGGTTCCGAAAAGGGACATGCTCGACCCGCCTATTGATGCATGTAAAATGATTGGTCATATCGTAAACAACGTTTATTCATGTGACAAAGTCGCGATCGAGATTCCCAATCAAATGCTGGGTTACCTAGAAGCTCACCCAAGTTTCCAAGAAGATGGATTCTTTACGACAAGCAGCTTACTGCCGACGGTATCTCAAATTCATGTGCGTTTACTTGGCTTCTACGCCAATATCCTCCTTTGTCGCCCCTTTTTCCTTTTATCCTTCCTGGGGACGAACGCCTCAGACGGCATCCAGACACAGATCAACAGGCTGTCTGAAAGATGCGTATCTCAATCACTTCAAGCGGTTGAAATGGTGAAAGGGGGGTTTCAGGCCAACCTCTTGCGCCATTCTGACCCCCTTGCTCTGTAAGTCTGCCGCATATCGGCAGCCTTGAGTATTTGCTCACAAAAGCACAGCTATGTTTTATTTGAAGCGGCACTTGTCTTGCTTAGCAGTACTTATGCAGATATC